GTTTTAAGCTCTATCCGTTGGTAACGTCACTTTCCTAATTCGCTAATTCGACTAAGACTGACTTCTTTGGTAAGCCGCCGCCAAATAGATTCAGTATAACCAGGATAAGGCTCGGACCTCATGAGACGCCACATTTTTGACACGCTGCTTTGGATTACTCACGAGGGATAAACGGCGGTGAGGAGTTCAAGGTTTAGGGGTTGAATAGCGTTTCAAGCTCCGGCTAACAACAGAGCCAAGTTTGTGATCATTCTAATTGTTTGAAGTCGCGAGTATTCGAGGCTGATTGATCCTGAAGCCTAATGTCTCGTCCTGTAGCCTATTAGTGGTAGGCTGGACATTACGCCCAAAAAACTAAAGAGTTTTTGTATAAGCCGACTTTCATGCGAGGTAGGAAAGATAAAGAGGTATTTATTGGGTTTAACTCACTCGGACATAGCGGTTGCGCACCAGTAACCTATAGGTGTACCTAAACATTTTTTAGTATTGTGGGCGCTTTTATGGCGTCATTCGGGCTATTACTGGAGGCTCAATTCGAAGGCGAGACATCCCGGATGCTCACTCCGGGATGAGGTCTCTCGGCCTTGAGAGGTCGGCCGGTGCTCTTCGTATTGTTTGAGTGGTAAATGAGCAGGACCATATACGTCTGCATCAGCAATAGTTCTAACCATACCTGCGCATATACATTGGCATCTCGAGTAGAAAATGCATTGCTTTGTGACTTCCTTCCCATCATTTGCAATTTGAAAATGAGTATGGTCGAAATTGTGATTATGATACCACCAAGTGCCTAAAGTAAACAAAATATTGCAAAAAAAAGATCTAGAGAATTTAATTTCGTGTATACACCTACCATATTGCTAGCGCCCCAGTAACGAAGAAAGGAATCGCTTACAAAGCATCCTATTGTACCACAATCATGGCTTTCTCTGATGGGTGAAAGAGTGAATTCCAATAATAGATCGACGCAAGCTATTAGGAACGCTGAAGAGAGTGAGATGTTGGCGTATAAGGCGGAGCATATACGACGATAAGAAATGGGATAAAACAAAGCCTGGAAGGGTGACATTGGATCGCTGGGAAGTTGATGTGAATGTTATAGAGGTGATGCGAATCTCTAGAATCGTACAAAAAAGTCCGTTCTTCGAAATATCTATAGTTCACAACCGATTGTAAGTCATCCAAAGGTTCTTTTGATCTTTTACAACTACAGAAGTTTTTCACAATTACGTGCTTGCCTAATCGCTTAGTTCTACAGAGTCCTGATAAGATGCCCCAGATTGAGACCTTTCCCTGTTATAATGCTTTAACCTGAACTTGTATCCTAATCTGGCCTTTTTCAAAGTTTTACTATGCTGAAGTGCTTCACAAATGCACAGATGGACTTTCCCTTAAAAAGCTGAAGTTCAATTGAGCAATTGAGCAGCCGCAGCGACCACTCAATGATCAAAATTTTCTATAAAGAAAAGCCCTTCGTAGTAGTAGGAGCGTCATAGAAACTTCTTTATCTTCTAGTCTTTATGAGTAAAAAATTTAGGATCTAACTTATAGTTGTCTTACAGTAAGGCCAGAGAAATTGTTAATTTCAAATTGCAATTTCTATCATGCAAAAAATCTTTCTTGCTAATAGCTTATAACTATAGGGCAAAAGTTTTAGCTACTCATGCATCTCGAAAAAAAAGTACAGTCTGTCGCAGGGCTCGGCACAGGTGGCTTACGG